AAACATTTCTGATTATTATCAATGTTGAAAACAGTTGTGCTGCTGAATATTTTTGTGTAAACTTTGATACATTGTATTTTTCAGGATTCACAGATCAATAGAAAGTTCAAAAGATCAGCATTTATTTGAAATAGAAATCTTCTGTAACATTATAAATGTCTTTACTGTCACTTTTGATCAAGTTAATGCATCCTTGCTGAATAAAAGTGTTAATTTAATTAAAATACTTTTTTTTTGATAGCCACTGGTCACCATGAAGTTTCATTGTATAAAATAAAATAAAATAAAATAAATAAACACACTACTACTACTTTTATGTTTTTATTTTATTTTATTTTATTTTTTGACAGCTACTGGTCACCATGAACTTTTATTGTATAAAATATCTCTATTTAAATGAGAGAAAAACAAAGTTCATATGGCTTTGAGCAATATATTTTAGATTAATAGCAAAATATAATTTTTTAATAAGCATTTTGAGAACTTATCTAGACACGATTACATCATTTGCAGCATTCCTTGCCGACCTCTGATTGGTGGAATTTTCTGCACAGCATCATGGGTAATGTAGTTTTTTTAAAACACAAATTCAAGCGTTAAACAGAATTATACTGAAAATAAGTTGAAATAACATAAGCAGATGTCTTCAACAAAAGCACATACCATTGATTTACAACCTCAGAACGCACAAGAGCTCAGTCTTCCTCTGGAGAAAATGAATGGATTTTTTACTTCCAGAACTCAACTGTTACACTCTATACACTTAGAATGGAAGTGAACTGAGGCTTTAACAGCAGAAATGTGAAGCTACAGTATTTAAAAAAAAAAATGTTGATCCAGGAACATGTCTTTCTTGGCAAAATCACTGCCACCAGATGGGCAAAACTGTGGGTGGTGTAGTGGTTAATGACAAGCAATGGTAACTAAAAAGTAGCAGGTTGATTCCCGCAAAGAGCAGCCTATGTTCTATCACCATTGTGCCACTGAGCACGGCACTTAACCCCAGGTTACTCCAGGGGGGCCATTCCTGACATGAATGTAGCTACTGTAAGTTGCTTTGGATAAAAGAATCTTCTAAATGAAGGGAACCATTATATTTTATATATAATGACTTTTGTCATTAACAAAATATTGTGTTTTAAATAAATAGGGTACTAGAATGCCTCATATATCTGCAGAGCAGAACACTTGAAGATGCTTGTAATATGTGTGTAACACCACATGTTCTAAGAAGGATCAGGTCAGAGGATCCCACAGCTGAGCACAGCATCGATTTGTTGTGGGTAAATAAACCACTGGACACCACTGGTGGATCAATACCCTTTCTAACCTAACCCAAGAGAGAAACCTCTCATATAGAAATGCTGTTCACTTCCTTTATCATTTTCCAGTGTTGGTTAAAAATTTCAGCATGCATTTTAAAAACTGGAACTTCTATCCCAAATCTGTATGAACCCTGACAATTTAAATAAAATATTAAAATAAAATAAAAAAATAAAAAAAATAAAATAAAAGTGTATGTAATATTTTTATGTTACTTTTTTGGTCTTGACAGCTATAATTCTAATATGCTGATTTGCATTTCTGATTATTATCAATGTTGAAAACAGTTGTGCTGCTGAATATTTTTGTGTAAACTTTGATACATTGTATTTTTCAGGATTCACAGATCAATAGAAAGTTCAAAAGATCAGCATTTATTTGAAATAGAAATCTTCTGTAACATTATAAATGTCTTTACTGTCACTTTTGATCAAGTTAATGCATCCTTGCTGAATAAAAGTGTTAATTTAATTAAAATACTTTTTTTTTGATAGCCACTGGTCACCATGAAGTTTCATTGTATAAAATAAAATAAAATAAAATAAATAAACACACTACTACTACTTTTATGTTTTTATTTTATTTTATTTTATTTTTTGACAGCTACTGGTCACCATGAACTTTTATTGTATAAAATATCTCTATTTAAATGAGAGAAAAACAAAGTTCATATGGCTTTGAGCAATATATTTTAGATTAATAGCAAAATATAATTTTTTAATAAGCATTTTGAGAACTTATCTAGACACGATTACATCATTTGCAGCATTCCTTGCCGACCTCTGATTGGTGGAATTTTCTGCACAGCATCATGGGTAATGTAGTTTTTTTAAAACACAAATTCAAGCGTTAAACAGAATTATACTGAAAATAAGTTGAAATAACATAAGCAGATGTCTTCAACAAAAGCACATACCATTGATTTACAACCTCAGAACGCACAAGAGCTCAGTCTTCCTCTGGAGAAAATGAATGGATTTTTTACTTCCAGAACTCAACTGTTACACTCTATACACTTAGAATGGAAGTGAACTGAGGCTTTAACAGCAGAAATGTGAAGCTACAGTATTTAAAAAAAAAAAACATACGAACACATGAGTAAAATCAAGTCAATTTCTGCTGTCAAGTCATCATTCATAATCATTTCGAGGTGGAACCATTTATGCATGAACTTCTGGTAATTTTTTGGGGTGGAGTTTAGCATTTTTTGCATTTTTTGTATGTGCACATTTATTTGCATTTTTACTTTTAACTACAGAAGTTGCATTTAATCCAGAATATTTCGTTACCTCGAGCTTCTTTCATGCACATAATTGTTAAACCAGCGCTATAATCACTGATTGAACAAGTCGCAGTGTGTGTTCCCATAAATCCCTGCCAGCCTTCTTGAAATCACTGTTGCAAAACGGACTGATTCAACAAAAGCACATACCATTGATTTACAACCTCAGAACGCACAAGAGCTCAGTCTTCCTCTGGAGAAAATGAATGGATTTTTTACTTCCAGAACTCAACTGTTACACTCTATACACTTAGAATGGAAGTGAACTGAGGCTTTAACAGCAGAAATGTGAAGCTACAGTATTTAAAAAAAAAAAACATACGAACACATGAGTAAAATCAAGTCAATTTCTGCTGTCAAGTCATCATTCATAATCATTTCGAGGTGGAACCATTTATGCATGAACTTCTGGTAATTTTTTTTGGGTGGAGTTTAGCATTTTTTGTATGTGCACATTTATTTGCATTTTTACTTTTAACCACAGAAGTTGCATTTAATCCAGAATATTTCGTTAACTCGAGCTTCTTTCATGCACATAATTGTTAAAACAGCGCTATAATCACTGATTGAACAAGTCGCTGTGTGTGTTCCCATAAATCCCTGCCAGCCTTCTTGAAATCACTGTTGCAAAACGGACTGATTTCTGTAGGAAACACCCAAACTCATGGTGTGGGAGAGAAATTACCTCATACCACCGATATTGCACCTGGTCCACCGCAAAGATGGAGTAAACGCTGTTCTCCAGAAGCTTCTCGGCCAGCTGAGCGATTGTTGGGTGCTCCTAAACAACAACAACAACAACAATGTTGTGAAGTTTGTCCAAACATATCTATGCACAATCAGCTTGTAACACTCCAAAGAGAAAGGAAAACTTGAAATCGCATCATATGACTCCTTTAACATGTTTTTCGGACATGCTACTGTAGTAATACCATGTTATTCTTTGAAGTACCCTGTAGAATAATGTGCATACTATGGTATATGACAATAATAACAATACAGCTGCTGAATTAACAAACTAAAACTACAAAAATTGTTCATTAATTGAAACAAAGCTAAAATAATATTTAAACTTCAATCTCAATAAGTTTAAGTAACAAAATGACTAAAACTGAAATAAAATGAACTAAATCTAAATAGCAATATATTCAACTATACATAAGTAAATGACAAAACAGCATAACAAAATTACTACAATAGTAAATAAATAATACTATATCATTAATATTTATATTAAACATTAGATGAAAAACTTAAATAAAAAAAACACTGCTTTGACAACTAAGTGAAATAAGTTTAAGTTGAATGACTAAAATGAAACTGACTAAACTGAAATTTAAATATTAAAATAATTAAAGTTAAATAGAAATATAAAAAAACCTAATACAATTATGAAATTACTAAAACTTTAATTAAAATGAAAACTGAAAATATTAAAGTGAAAACTAATTTCAAATATTAATAAATACTATAAGTGTGTATAATTAATACTATATTATTAATATTAAATGAAAAATTAAAAACTAATTGAAATTAGTTTAAGTTGAATTAATAAAATGACTTTAACTGAAATAAAAATAAAAGTTAAGTAGAAATATAAAAAAGTAATAAAAAGGACAAAAGCACATAACACAATGATTAAAACTTAAAGTGAAAATTAAAAATATAAAAATAAAAGCTAATTCAAAATATTATTTATTATTATAATTATTCATGTTAATTAAATACTAATTCTATACAAGTACATAAATAATACTACATTATTAATGTTAATATTAAATATTAGATGAAAAAAATTTAACTGAAAAACTTGACTTGGCAGCTAACTAAAATAAGTCTAAGAACTAAAATGAAAGTTTAAGTAATAAAATAAAAATTAATTAAAGCTACACAGAATGTATTATTCTAGAATATATATTATTCTAAAATATGTAATATATATATATATAAAATCTATTCAAATAAGAAAATGATAGAGGAGGACAAAACACATTAAAATAACTAATAAAAACACACGAAAATATAAAAATAAAAGCCAATTCAAATATTAATAAATAAATAAATAAATCAAATATTAGTATATAAACTATAAATAATAAAACAATGCTGTTCAGCACCATGGTATATTGTATTGATATATAAGTACAATTGATTATAAGTATAATCAATAAGTACAATTGTATTACCTTTTTTGTAATGGAAGAACTAATTCTTCCAGCCCATTAGGGTTGTGACGGTGAGGAAATGCACCGTCAGCACCGTCTATCACGGCAAGCCTACAGCCCATGCGTATGTTTTATACAGTATTTGCCCCTTTTATGAAAATAGACCATAAAAAAGGCAAGGCGTTTTTGAGGAAAAGAGAGATGGAACTGGATCGGGACACATCGCAGGCAAAACTGAACTACTTCAGTGTTTTGTGTGTTTAGTGCTTTGGTTTGGTTAATCGTACCATAGTAGTGGTTTGGGAGTAGATGTTATCCTCTAGATGGCAGCGGCCGTCGTGAGGAACCACGATACCGGCCAGTTTACCATCCAGAGCCAGATGAGACGGCTGGTCTGTCATAACCAGCAGCAGATGCTTCGCTTCGGGACGCCATCCGATGTCTTTCTGCAGAGATGAATCAAGATTTACAAACCTGCATGAGTGTGTGTTTAGCATAAGGTTTACTCAGCAGTCGGAGGAGTTCTACATAGCATACATCTGTCCTGTGTTACTAATACAAGACTAACTGCACTGCTTGAGCATTCAGATGCCTTGGATTGATGATAAAGCACGCAAAAAAATTAAATAAAAACAATAAATAAATAAATAAATAAATACTAAAAAAAATAAATAATAAAAAGGAACATAAAAATAATTAAATATTGAAAAAAAAAAAATCCAATTAACAGTAAAAAATAATTAAAATACACACTGGTAATGAAACAAAGAAACAATTAAAAAAACATTAAAAAACTCAAACTAAAAATAATAAACCATAATATAATAATAGGCTCTATGCTTGACAGATGATAAAACCCACAATAAATAAATAAAATGTAATACAAAAAAGAAATAAATACAAAAACAAAACAATAAATACAACAATAAATAAAACAAAAAACAAACAAATCAATTTATTAAAAAAATTTAAATAAATAAACAGTAAAAAATATATTAAATACCAAAAATAAAATGCAATAAAAATATTTAAAATAAAACAAAATAAAAGATCCAAAAGTAAAAAAAAAAATACGCAAACAAACAAAACCAAACAAATAACACAAAAATATAACATGCAAGAAAATCCTAAATGTAAATAAATAAAAAAATACAAAACATAAACGCATGAAATAACTAAACAAAGATACAACAAAAATTTAAAGTAAATAAAAATAAATGAAATACTAAAAATAAATAAATGCGACAAAAATAAATAAATAAACAAACTTGAGTCTGTGTTACTAATACAAGACAAAGTGCACTAGTTGAGGGTTTATCTGCCAGGATGAGTAACGTTTGAATTAATCATTCCTTAAATCATGTCTTCAGGAAAAAAGTGCTTAACTGATGTATAACTTTGCTTGACAGATAATAAAACATAAATAAATGAATAAATAAATACTAACAATAAAAATAAATGATTACAAAAAAAATCCTAAAAATAAAAAATAATAATATCATAATGTCACTCATAAGAGATTGTGTGTGGACTCTTCTGACCTGAGCCTGTTACTAATTGAACACAAACCGCACGAGTCGAGCGTTTTTAGCTGCCAGGAGTAATGAGTAATGTTTGACTAAAAAACCCCGACAAGATGCCAACAGGAACTACCTTTTAAAGCTACAACAGCAAGGCATCTGTGTAACTCATGCGTGACGACAGGAGGACGAGAAACAAATGCTATTCCACCTGAGAGCCGAGCGTTTGGAGGACACAGCAAACGCTTCGTTTCGCTTTCCGACTCGCAGAGGCACATTACGAAGACTGAAACTCAGCCAAGGTCACAAAAGCTTTCAGCTCAGAAAGCATTTGCTTATCATTCACGGGAAAGATCCCAGCGGCCGGATCCCATGAAGAGGCTTTGTTGATGCTGCTGGGCTGCTGTGAGCAGTGACGAGATGGAGATGCTCCCGCTCCCAGACCGTCTCTGCAGCGACCGCAGGAGAAATATGTGCTGACGGACCGTGTTTAGATGAATCGTTCATGAGACCATATTTGACGAGAGCGGCTGCTCGAATCATTAGTGCTGTTAAAGCAGGCTTGGGATCTGCTAACTCTGAGTGTTGAACATGAGCATGTAAATCACATTAATCATTCTTCAAATCAGACTTTGCTTGGTTGATGAAAAAACATGCAAAAATAAATAAATAAATAAATGCATACGTAATTTAATAGTAAAATATAAAGAACAAAATAAAAAGTAAACAAAAAATAAAATAAATAAATAAACTAACAAACTAGAATATTACTATATCATTCATAAAAGATTTGAGGGTTATTTAAGCCAGTAAAAAACACAAAACAACCACCATTAGCAAGAAAAATAAATAAATAAATAAGGACAAGTAGCAATCACCACTAACAATAAATATATAAATAAACAAAAAATAAACGACAACCTAGAAATCACCACTAACAAAAATAAAAACAACAACAAAACCAAATATGTTATACAAAGTTAAAAGAAATAATAAATAAATAAACACTAAAAATAAATAAAAACATAAATAAATATATGAAATAAATAAATAAATAAATACATCATAAAATGACCAGAAATACTAAAAATAAATTAAAAACATAATAAAATGAATAAAGATATAAAAAAAATAAATGGTCATAATACTAAAATAAAAATTATAATAAAATGAATAAATAAATACCAAAAAGTAAATAAAGTCATAATACTAATAATAAACAATAAATGAAAAATAAATACTAATATAAAAATAAATAAAACTGTAATACTACTAAAACGAATACTACCATTTTTAACTTTAGCCAGTAAGGAACGATCCAGCAATCACCACTAACAACAAAATGGAAATATCATTACAAAACAAACAAACACTAACTAACTAACTAATAAATAAATAACATAATAATAAATAAATACATAATAAAAACAAAATGCACAAACATAATAAATTACTAAAATATTACTAAAATAAATAAATAAATAAATAGCAAAAAGTAAATAAAGTCATAATACTAAAAATAAATGATGAATAAAAAATAAATACTAATATAAAAATAAACAAAACTATAACATTACTAAAATGAATACTAGCGTTTTTGACTCGAGCCAGCAAGGAACGATCCAGCAAATCACCACTAACAAAAAAGTGGAAACACTAATAACTAAATAAATACATAAACAAGTAAGTAAATAAACTATAACATTTTGAATAATCACTCATAATAGTGAACTCTTTTGACTTGACCACCTAGCAACCACCCAGAACTTCATAGCAACCACAGAAAACATCCAATCAGCTTACTAAAAACATGCTAAAAACCACCCAGTACACCTTAACCAACCAAATTGCAACATGCAACTACAAAGCAACACCCTGGCAACCACCCAAACCTGGCAGAAGTGAAGCAATCACTCATCAGTGTGGTGTTGATTTTCTGAATGCAGTGTGTGGCTCAGGTGTGTTTACCTGGCAGACGGCGGCCTGCAGCATGGCGTCGAAGCCTCCCTCCGGCGTGTCCATGTTCCCGGAGATCCTCTGCTCCTGGACGACCCGCGTGAACTCCGTCATGTTGTGTGTGATGGGGAGGACGTGAATGAAGCCGTGAGCCGGCCTGCAGTTCACCTCATAATCACTGAGACACACACACAAAACTCACAGCTTCCCAGAGGAGAGACAAATGTGACCCTGGACCACAAAACCAGTCGTAAGGGTCAATTTTTAGAAATTGAGATTTATACATCATCTGAAAGCTGAATAAATAATATTTCCATTGATGTATGGTTTGTTAGGATAGGACAATATTTGGCTGAGATACATTTACAAAATATCTTCATGGAACATGATCTTAATATCCTAATGATTTTTGGCATAAAAGAAAAATCAATAATTTTGACCCATACAATGTATTGTTGGCTATTGCTACAAATATACCCCAGCGACTTAAGACTGCTTTTGTGCTCCAGGGTCACACACACACACACACTTCAGACCGCTTCAGTATCTCATCTGTCTCTCTGAACATGTGTTCTCACGTCAGTCTGCTCTAGAGTTTCAGTCAGTTCTGGTTACTGTGAGCTAAAACCTTGATCATTGAAATAAAACATGAAGATTAGATGAAAAACGCTAACTTAAAACGTACATAAAAATGAGAAATCTTGCTTTGGGAACTAACTTGAAATGAAGTAATTTGAAGTACTAAAATTACTAGAGCTAAAACTGCAATAAAAATAGAGAGAAAAGAAAAATGTTAAAGAGAAATATAAAAAAAGAGAAATATAAAAACAATAAAATAAAAAAGCACAAAAAAACCTAAAACAACAAATTACAATTCTATTAATAATAATAATTAGGGATGTAACGATTAACCGCGAGCCAGTTGATAACCGATTTAAATATGTGACGATTCAAATCGGTTGAGATGCTAAACAAATCGCAATTCAGTTAGTGGTAGGAGTTTACTGTCTTTCGATGGTACTTTTTCTTTTCATCTTGCCTCTGTATAATGCACATTCAGCTCGTCTGCTGTTTCTGTTTCATGCAGATATTTTTTATGCATAGTTTCACAAAACTGAAGTCAAACCATTTTGTTTTTGCTTCAGATTTCGGAATTATACAATCTAATTTAGATTAAAAACTGCTTGTGTTGCATGAATGCAGCATCTTTGTTTGGATCAAGATTAAAACGCAGTGGTTGACTCTAATTTTAAATGTAAAGAACACAGACAAAGCCTTAGTTTGTTTAGAAATAGTCTCATTAAAATAACAGCTGACGAATTTGTCTGTTTATTTATTTTCTAAAGAATTTTAGGAGAAGCATTTGCGACAAAGTAAATACTCAATCGAAACTCAGTTGTCATAAGCATGCATATTTTGCCCAGTTTATTAAGAAAATAAATATTAAATATATTGTTTAAACATTTTGGATCTTTCCATTTGCAGTGTCACTTTAATGAATAATTTTTCGAGTCAAGAGCTTCCAGGGAACAAAGATATATAAAAAATGATATCCTTCATAAAAAGGCAACAAAAGGTTTTCACAAGAGACACAATCTGGACAATGTGGACAAGATAATCTTGTTCTCCTCCAAAAAACTGAGCTGTGTGATTCTGCGATTCTTGATCTCAGTTCAATCTCATAATATTTACAAAAGAACTCAAGTATCAACTCACATGTTTCTCCTAAAATCCCTTTCCAAAATAAAAAGTAGATGCGTATGAGTCAAAAATGAAGAGAATAGAGCTGTAAAAATACTGTAACTGTTTAGATCAGTTGTTAAGAACATTTTTTGACTGCATATTTAAATCGCACTGTTGCCAGGAGAAATGACGGAGTTA